GAATATTTGGAATTACTTTTTTTTTTTAAATATTTTTTTACAATTTTTGACAACGATAATAGTATTTTTTTAAATATTTGTCTCTCATGTGGAAAAAATATATTTCTTTATTCCATTGAAAGTTCGTAATAGCCTTTTTAGATTTTTTCATACAAAAATAATTTAAAGGTTCAATAACAACATTAGGATAAGTACTTATTGAGTTATAAGCATTTTAATACGTAGAATGGGTACAGCTCTTACAGGTGTATATTTATAATACTTAATCCAATCGTATAGCGGGTGTAGCATTACTACCTGTTCTATGTATTAATTATCTTGTAACTCACTAAGTACTCGGTTGTTATTGATCCTCAAAAAATTTTCTAAGAATAATACTAAAAAATAGATATTTTAAAATTTCAAAAAAATCATTATTATTATTATTATTAAAACATGTTTTTTATTAGTGATAAAAAAAAAAAAATTTTAACTTATTTCAAAATTTTAAAAGAAGTAAAGTATCTTATAAAAATTATCTCGTATACCTTAAGCGTAAACTTTTTAGGGGCATGGTGTAGATTATTCAGTCGGCGTCTTAGCGTTGATATTCAGCTGCACTGTTGGTTGTCGAATATGTGACCATATGGGAAATTTAATAGTGACAGACACCTTGCCAAAACGAGATTGCGACAGGTGGTGGGGAAAAAAATTATAGAAAAAAATTCAAGTACAAGTACTGTAGTGTTTGGTACAGAATGCCTTTAGCAAAGATCTAGTAGACCAGTTGTTACAAACATTGTTGATTATATTATATCGTGTGACAGCTTATTTCCAGCGTCTTGCTTCACTCACCCCTTAGCCCACCCAGCACGGCAAATCAATGACCTCCGTGTCAACTGTCATCCGTGTACAGTTCATCATCGTAATTCAGTCAGTCAATTGTTTTATGTGTCATTGTTTTTTTGTAGCAAGCGCCTTCGCTTGAATACTAAATTGTTTGGCCGTTGTACGCCATAGTTTTATCCTTTTGCTGAAAGTTTTAGGGCCCTTGCACCCCACCAGTGATTGGGCCCTGACCACCTCTAAATATTCTCATTGCCGTAGTCTGTTCTCATCTGCCATTACGTGCCTGGATCTACACTATGACTCGTCATACTCAGATGTTCGACATTATTACCACAAGATCTCATACAGTCCACTCATCACTATCAACAACCTCATTTATTCTGCTGAGTTTATATTATTTTAAATGTTATTTATTGTTTGTTTTAATTGAGATTAACTATTTTGTTTTATGCCGCTTCGCTCACCATTCGTATTTAAGGGCCTCCCGTTACCCCTTAAATTTAAGATACTCTCTGAAGAATTTCTAATATATATATGGTTATTTGTTATTTAACTATTGTCTACTCTCGATACTTATTGGATGTACCGTTAGCTGTCATCCCACAGGTGACCCATTCCCGCTTCAATAATAGAGAATTAAACAGGCTAAGGTAAAACGACATTCTGGTGCGGTGCACAACTAGCCGTCCTACGGTCTAGCTGCCTCGTACAAAACAATTAGTGTATTATGGTTTAAATTTTTTGGAGTTGGTTTTTTATAAATACATAATATTTATAACAAATAATTTTTCCCATAACAATTAAACTTGAGTAAAAGAACAAATAAAAATGTCGAGAACGTCATAAAATAATATATTTTGGCAATTTCAATTTTTTTATTATGTAGACTTACTATATTTATTTATTAATTACGTAAAATAGATTATAAGAAATACATGTACAGCTTTTCTACATTTGGTTGTCTACGTCTTTTCAATAATACAATTCTTAACTTAAAATTGACTTATCCTTTAAAGTAATTCATAGTATAAAATGTACCATAATATGGTATTGTAAACATTCATTACATTTTTGATGTTATGTAATATTGAAATAAGGCAATTAAATGTTATCTAAAAATTTAATTTAATTTAAAGAAAATTTTTTTATTGTGATCATCGTTATCAATAATAACATGTTTTCGTCATCTTTGTAAAATTATATATATATATATTATTTGTGCCTATATGTATGCAGTTTAAATATAAATGTTAGAGAATTATCTTTACGCATGTATTTAACTATTAATTAATATATGTACTTACATTTCTATTATTGTGTTATGGTTGTACTATGAGATCACAATTTGTTCATCATTAATTAACCTTATCGTTTTATTAGTTTTTTAATTTTATGAAAATATGACTAGTGTTATTGTTTAGTTGTGTACAAAATGTCTATGGTATCCAGGATATATCATCAAGTAATATATTGTCGATATGGAATAAGTACTACTAAATAGAAAATAAAATTTTAGGGAAATTCATTTCTTTTCTAAATTTTGTAAAAAACTTAATTTTAGTAATCAGTATTTTCCAAATTGAAGTTTTCAATGGTTTTCTATAAAATCCAAAATAGTATATATAAGCAAATAGTGGTGTAAGTATTGCTGTTAATGAGATCTTGCTCAACGCTAACAATGATTTTTTAATAATTTTTCGTTGGATTAATCTATTTTCTTTATAATCATGTTTTTGAATGTTTCTATATTTTTCCTTATTAAATGTGTGAGTATGTTTTTTCTTTTTGTAATCAATCCAAAAGTATTAAGTCTTTAAGTCAAAAGTATTTAAGTAAGTATTAACGTGAGTTTTTCTTGATTAGTACTTAATTTGTTTTATTTTATAATTCCTTCTTCGTGTAATAATTTAAAAATTAATCTTATAAAATATACTTTTTGAGTTCACTGTAAAGTTTTTAAAATAATCAATATATTTCATATAATCAGTTTTTAGTACCTTAAGCCCCCCCCCTTTATTTATACCTAATATTATACAATGTTAAGTTTGAGTTCATCATATTTTAATCATGTTGATTAATGTAGGTACTCGAGCCTGGTTTTTAATTTATAAAACAATTCAAACATTATCATAAAAATTATTTAAATAATTTTTTTAATGTGACTATATTGTAAAAAAAAATATTATGAATATTTATGTCTTATTTGAGGTTACATTCATTACATTTTTAAATTACATTAAACTTGAAGGATTCAAGTCAAATATTGATGGAATATTAGACAATTCATTTTTACATTAAATACAAATATATTCTGTTATAGTTTTTTTCGTCATCAACAGAGAGCGTTAACCAAATATTGGTTATTTATCAGCTGTTGTTATCTTATGTCTATATTATTGTGTCTATATCTATATCATTGTCTAATCAAAATGGTACTTAACCGTTATCATGTTAATGCTACTCGCCGTGTAAATATTCAAGTTGGAAATGTGAAAACGTATTTTCTGCAAATGTAATCTTTACATTTATTGTGATATTCACCTTTGAATTACTTTATTACATTGATAATGTAAAAAATATTAAGTATTTGTGTTAAAATGTTTTTCTTTATTTCAAAGTAAGTATAATAGTGTGTAGAAATGGTCTTTTTGAGTCTTTGCATTTCATTTCATTTTAATCAAATTCACGCTTTGTTTATGTAGAAACGTTCTTGAGCATTACCCTGTTATTCACTATTATCTTATATTCTATATTCTACTTGCACGTTATTACGTTTGTGTATAAACACTATAAATTTGTTGCTTTTGATCAACACTTCTCAGATAATCTGAAGTTTTACTATCAGACAATATTATGGTAAAGTATAAATTTATCATGTGAAAATCTTCAGAAGTTATGGTAATGGAGACAGCTATCAGAATAGATCGTCTGATTGAACAGTTTTATACACCTATGACGGTAATCATCTATAGAAACTCCTATGGCGGCGACTATTGTGTTCGTTACCATGCCTTGTCAGGTTAGAATTTAATTTAATTTTGTTGTGACGTCTTATGATTATATTGAACGTTAATATGTTCAAGTTTATAGTTTTACTTCAAATCATCCACTTTGTCACAATTATTTGCAATAAAAAAGAATTTTAATTTTAATATAAATTTACTGTTAAAGTATAACTATTATATAGTTTATTATCAGTATTTATTAAAACATTAATTAATAACAAATATTATTCATAATTATAAAATTTCAAAATATATTGCTATTTTAAAATTATTAAATCAATATATTGAATTTTGTGCATATAAATATATTTTGTGGGCTAAATATAATTTACATCCTCAATAATTTTTGTAAAATACATTTACTGAATTTATAATTAGAACATTGTTCAGAACTTTTTAGTAAAATCATTAACATATTATACAATTTTTATAATACAAAAGTTTACAACCTAAAATTGGTTTGTCTATGATAATAAAACACTTATTTATAATTGTTCAAAGGTAAGTTTTTTCTTTCTAAACTTGTAGTTATTGTTTTTTAAGTTCATTTTTACATTTTATTGGTAAAACATATTTTTAATTAACCGGTTTTGTAGTCGTAAAATTAATTTTTATAAGTTATGGTGATGGTACATCAAATTAAGAAAAAAATTTAGTAATTATATTTAGATTTGTATTTTTTTTTCAATTAATAAGGTTGTTACAGAAAAATTTAATTTATTGATAAAGCAGTCATGAGATATAAAAAATCAAACTGCTTTTATCCATTTAAATTTGTATTCAATTTGTCAAGTATATCAAATTTTATTTTAAAAGGCATATAATTTTTAACATATTTTTTTTGGAATATTAAGTTAAATAAATTTATGTTTCTACCTTCAATTAATTTTTGATGTGATGAGTTTATTTGCTATTTCATTAATTATTAAGTTGATTGTTTCCCTTAATGTCAGTTAAATAAATATAAAAAAATAATTATTGATATACTTATAAAGAGTGTACAATATAAGTTATGTAAAATTTAATTATAAGTAACTCTAAAATTTTGTAATATTTGTAGTATTTTATGTAAAATACTATTACTCTTTTATATTACTTAGTTTTCAGTACTTCATATATACTACATGTTCTAATTAAATTTTACATATTAATCTTTTCTATGTTTAGATTCAGGTACGGATGGAGAAAGTCAGAGCGGAAGCAAAGAACAGCTTAGCGAAAGAAAAATGCCAAAACCACCTATTGCTACGATTACATACAAGGTTTTGAAATTTAATTTATAAATTACTAACAAATTTAAAAAAGAGTTATCTAAAAAAGTATTTAATTTTTTAGGTTGAAGCATCAGATACTCTGACTTCAGTTGCTGCCAGATTTGACACAACCCCATCAGAATTAGCTATACTGAATAGACTTTCATCGCGCACAGTTTTTCCTGGACAAGTAATTCGTGTACCAGATAAAAAACGTTTGTCAGTGTCAGAATCTGATGCATCCCAAGTAAAAATTGTGATAATAATTGATATTACATCAATATTATTAAATTAAAACATTTTTTTAGGGCACCCTAAGCAATTTAGATTTATCTGAAACTAACAGTTCCACATCAGCTGAAGGAGAGAGCAAAACCGGACTTATTACTGGTAATGATAACAAAGATGCCAGTAATAAAAGGGAGGATGGTAAGAATTTTTTTATATGGATATTGTTGTGGTGGTTTTTTAAGTTAATTCATTATCAAAATAAAAATTAAGCAATCTAAATTATATTCAGGTAAAAAAATCTTGTTATTGAGCTATCTTATATTGATAATTCTTTTTAAGTGTATTAAGGTTTATTGACTGTTAGTAATCCGTCTATTAGTTTAAGAATACTTATCTCATATTACATATTGTTTACTTTGGTATGACACCTTATAATAATATTATGGTAAGTAGGTAGGAGACCATAATATTGTGTAAAGTTGTCATCATTATAAGATAGTTATTAGTTAAAATTTATTTTAATAAAAATGAAAGGTTTAATAATGTGTCCACAAGATCTTTTACATAGTAAAAACTATGATTGCTTAGATTATCAATTTTTAAACACTAACAGTAGTAATTTAATTTTCGTGAATGATAATGTATATTGTATTTATATATATATATATATATATATAAATTTGTAGATATGTTGGATTCATTACGCCCATCATCACCAAAGTCAGGAAATCAGGAACGTTTGGGTTCTTCAGTATCACCTTCATCTGGTAGATTACATACGCGCGGTGTGGAAAGGTTCCTTAAAATAAATGTTAGACACATTACAGATGGACAAGTATGTTTTTATTTTTATTTATATTTTAAATATAAAATATAAAAAAAAAAAAAAATTATTAATTTTTTTTTAATGAATAATTTTTAGGGAGTAGTAAGTGGTGTACTACTTGTTACGCCCAATGCTGTTATGTTCGATCCTAATGTTTCTGATCCCTTAGTCATTGAACATGGGCCAGAATCTTATGGTGTTATAGCTCCAATGGAATTTGTGGTGAATGCAGCCATATATTATGATATAGCGCACATGAGAGTAGCAGGACCACATCAAGCTTCAGGGTACTTTTGTAAAACCTATTAAAACTGCTTAGAAAAAAATATTTTATTTTAAATATGTTCATAATGTTAGTTTTAGTTTATATTAAATAACACATTAATTCTTCTCATGATATAGAAATGAAAATGAAAATGTGACAAAACCTGCAATCTATCATTTACCCCCAGCTCATAAGTCAGAGGTAGCTGAAAATAGTGATCATAAATCTCCAGCAATGTTAACTACAACACAAACAGATTCTTTAGACAGTGCAACATTGGATTTGCAAATATCACCTGGTGGTAGAACAGATTCTCTAATAGCAAAAGATGAAACTTTTCCTGAACTTAGGTGATTTTAATTTTAAATAAATTATATTATCATAAAAATGAATGTTACAAAAAAGGCAAAATTCATTAAAATATTTAAATATTTTTATATTAAATGATATTGGATTATATTGTCTAAAAGTGAAACAAATTTTTATGAAGTTCCTATTTTTAAAGATGTTTAATTGTAAAATTAAAATGTTTTAGTTATATTAATTTTTAAATAAGTGATTCATTCATTAGTAAATAAGTTTATTTTTACAAAAGAAAAAATTGTTATATTAATTAGATTTTTTAAGTTAATTATATATTTTAATGTTTTAAAAATTCATAGATCATCTACAGAAGATGAAGAGGAAGATGGTAGTATATGTTCATGCAATGCACAAAGAAATGATGGAGCTGCATTTCCCAAAGCATTTGATCGAGACTTAGTTACACCAAGTCCAATGAATAGGCCCAGTGATATTTTGGTTTGTATATAATTATATATTAATGTAAATATCATAACTAAGATTACTATACATTTAACTGTATAAAATTGATGTAAATATAGAAGAGAACAGAAAAAGAATCAGTTAATGAAAATAGTGGCAATGATGATGATAGGCCATTATCTTCTATGTCTGTTGAACAAGATGCTATCTGTAGTATACGGAACTTAGAACAACGAAGACAATCTTCAATTGATCAACATTGGGCTATGCCAAACAAAGTTCGATCTCTAGATGATGAACCTCCAGTACATAATGAAGAACATTGTATGCCTTATTATTAGTTAAATTCTTAAATAAACATGATTGCCACATGTTTGAAAACTTAAAAAGTCAGCGTGTTTTAAATTTGTTAAGAAAACCATGAAAATATCAGAAATTTTTTCCAGAATTTTTAAAATTTAATTTATTTATCTTATAATTTTGGCTTGTGTAGTTCTTTTCTGTTTTTTGAAAGTTCCGTATTGTAAGTTTTTTATGAAGGTTAAGTAGGAAGGTAAATAAAAAGTTATTTTGGGGTTCAACCTTACCTTAAAAAATAAAAATTATAAGCCTTAATGAAATTATACCTTTCTTTCTCTATAAGACTTGGTATTGAATGAATGTTTAAAAAAATTTTGGAGTATCACAGAAATGTCAATTTATAATTAGACATTGTGCTGGTAAAAGTCTTAAATCTAGTTTAACTTATATATATATATATATATGTGTGTGTGTGTGTGTGTGTTTGTATTTAATTTTTTATAGAAGTTTTATGACACATAAAATAATAAAAAAGAAAATATTTGATTTTATCATATGTTGTTCTTGAAATAAGATATAAAAAATCAAATGTTTTTGTTTTTATTAAAGAAGTAAATTAATAATTTAGAGTTTTAATTTTATACCTAAACATTATCTAAATATATATAATAAAATAATATTAAAAAAAAATGAATAGCTTCATAAGTATGATAATTAACTCTTCAAACCTATATCAAAAAAATATCTAATTCAACATAATTTATTTTGTATATTTTTAATATTTTGAAAAAATTATAGAAATTAAAAACAAAGTTCTTTTGTTAATTAAAAATTTTTTTTTTAAATTTTAGCGGTTACTGATGAACCAGAAACATCAAATGGTTATTTAGTAAAACATTCTTGTCATGATTCTGGTATTGACATAAGAGATCCTCCAATGTTGTCTGTACCACGAAAAACAGTGTATTCTGATGCAGATATACTTTTATCAGAATCAGATTTCATTCCCCCAGTTTCAGTTTTACCATTATCAAGTGATCAACTCAATGATGCAGTTCAACTTAGGAAGAAGAAAGCAACATCTGTATCATTTAGTTTAGAAGATTCTAAAGAACAAGAGAATTCTCCTGCTGCAGAGGTACAGCAAAGGATAGACGAACAGGATAAACAAGCTCAAGACACCAAAAAAAATAAAGTAATAATTTTTATTAGGCAACTTACATAATTTTATATTAGATTGTACAATTTTCAATTTTGAAAAATTTTATTCTTTTTAAATGGAGTTATTAAAAATATTATTAATAATTAAAAAGTATTCTAAATTTACAGCCCCCTAAACCTCCCCAGATTGTGTCTATAAATAGTTTTAAACATTTAAAAATTAAAAAATTAATATATATCAAAAAATTTTCATTGCTTTGACGAATATACTTTTAATGTTCATAATTTTAGTATAAATAAGTAATTTTTGCTTACTTATCCTCTAAAAAGTTTTAAAATTACCTGAAAATAACAAAAATGCCATTAAATTTTGTTCTTGGAGAGTATTGACTAAGATTACTCCAATAAAATACAATATGCATTGAAATCTAGGTGTTATTGATAACTAAAAACATTATACAAAACATCCTTAGTAAATTTGTAAAGGTTAGACCAATACTAAAGAAAATTAATATTTTGTTTTTTAGCCATTATTGATAAACATTATTAGATATAATAATGTTATAAGAATTTTTGCTCATTGATTTATTTACATAATAATCATTATTAAATGCTCAGTAAAATAATAAATATAATGTTTCAAATATTTCAAGTCAAATTTTAAAATAAATTGTTTATTTAAGTCAATCATGCAAATTTTATTAAGATATTGAATATGTATAACTTACAAACTAATTTAATTTTTATAGTATTACATTAATAATTTTTGTTACATTTGAATAGATGTTAAAGAGACTTTCATATCCTTTGGCATGGATGGAAGGATTTACAGGTGAGAAAGATACTGAAAAAGAAGCATCATCGGTACCATCTTCAGCTGAATCATCTCATCTTTCGCATTCATCCAGTGTATTTTCTAAAGTGTTCTCCAGGTAAATATTAACTTTAATTATCAAACATTTTCTTTAACACTTATTTTTTCATATTATTTTTAAGCATATTTTGTTTATTCATTACAACAATATTACAGAAGTAGCACACATTCTTTTTTATGCACTTTTGTAAATAAAAAATCGAATAGGTTTAACACATTTTTAAATATATTATTGGTGTATATTTTAGGTTTGTTATTATGCTTCTATAGTTTTTTTTTAATATCCAAGTATATTGGTTAAAAATATATATTTTTAAGCATAACAATTATTATATTTCAAAAGCTTGTAATGGTATTTAAGTTGATTTAATTAAAATTATTATTTATATATTCGAGCTTTTAAATAGGATAAAAATAAAATTACTAAAACATAAAAAAATGTTATTTATTATTAATTACAAATATTAACACAAACAATAATTTAACTTTTAATTGATATAGAAATAAATTAGTTATAGAAGAATTTTTTAAATATTTAAGTTTTAATTTTACATAAAAGTATTCTTAACATTTTCAACGAAAATTACAAGAATGTCTATTCAAAAGAATGATTTGATCAAAGTTGACCAAATTAATCTTTTATTTTTTTTATTAATAATAGTGTCATAGTTATGGAGTTACTTCATTAATAATGAAACTTATAAATTTATCATTTTACATGTATTATGAATAATTTTTAATTGATAGATCTAATTCTATAAAGGATTTATGATTGACTATTAGACTTCTTTTAAAATAATAATAATTTTGAGAAAATTTTTCTATTTATAGTGGTAATATATATATTTTTCTATTTATTAATACTTTTTAGATCCATATCTTGTCCATTATAAAGTTACCAACTTAATTTTTTTAAATGGTAAAAAATATTTTTTAGCTTAAATGATCCTATAAACTAAGAAGAGAACAACTGGTCAATAAAAACTTTTGAACCAGTAGTATAAGAGTTATAAATATTTTTATATCAGGGTGAGAGGAATAGCGTGGCAGAGAAATGCATAATGATAAAATAACACAACCCACATTTTTAAAAGTATACTTTAAATAATGTTAATTATTTCCAAATACTAGTTCAAAAGTTGTTAACAACTAGTCATTTTCTTAGTTGGATTATTTTCTAACATTTAAGTTGGTAAAATGTTTATGTTTTCATTTAAAAAAATGAAGTTGAAACTCATATAAGAAATGAGAAATGAATTTAAAAAGTATTTAACCACTTATAAGTTTGAAGGATACTGTCAAAATTATTAATATTTTTTAATAAAATTATTATTGGTCAACAAAAAATTAATCATCCTATAGTTTAAATTATTATTGGCTAAATTCAATCAACTAGTTGATTTGATATTCTCATTTAAAATCTATGTATTCACTTCCTTTTTTATATTGTAATTCCAACATTAGATAAAAAGTGTCATCCTATTGCAAATTTTACTTATTTTTAAAATTGGCTCAATTATTTAATTTTATTCATTAGTCTAGAAATAAGTAACAGTTAAATACAATTCACAATTTCAGATTTATTTATAAATTTACTTGGTGTTTCATACTCTATAGTTTTAGTAAAAATCATCCATTGATTTCCTTCAAATTTTTATTAATTGAGAAATTGGCGAGTGTGAAAAGAATTATGTTAAAAGTATTGTAAGAGGATGTGATCATAATATTTATGTATTTCCAAAGCTCACCGATAAACATGGTGACTGATTTTGGTTCGGGTCTGTTCCTAATGAAAACGCCAAGTGAGGAAAGTGGACGATTTCAGTTTCCACCACCCCAGGACTGTTCACCCGCTCCGTCTTCGGCTACCCCACCGAAACGGGAAGGCCTTGCTAGTTTTTCGCCATCGTCAATTATAAACAGCGTGGGGTAAGTGGTACACATATTGTACCCTTATATCTGTCTATCTGTCATTTTTATTGTGGTGGTGTTATGTGTGTCCCTAATCTTGACACCAACAGTCATATTTAAATATAGTAAAATATAGTATGCATTGTTGTTCAAACTGTGATTGATGAATTGTTTATATATTTTATTTTTTTGCGTTTTTTAAGTATTTATGTAGTAAATTTTATTTTGTTTGTATTATGTATTAGTGTAATAGCGTAAAAATGAGATGTAACGAGTCCTGAGAGTGAATTAAATCAGTGTCTAAATCATATTTATCAATCATTTTCAACAGTCACCAAATTTGTCAGAACTAGGTGGTACACTACCTAATGTTCTGATAAATTTTATGACTGTTATAACTAATTGACGAGAATGTTTTAGATACACTCTTGTCCCCTGTTACACCCCATTTTATGGTATTGTTTAATTTGTTTACAGTTTTTTGATATAAAAAAAATGCTCTTTTTATTTATTGTATATTATTTTTAGTTTTAAGTTTTTAAATTAACTTCATACTTATTTGAAAATTGATATGTATGTATTTTTTTAATTAGTGCATGTATATTTTTTTATTTATTTAAATGGTGTAATATAATAAAATTTCTTTTCAGGCGCTCCTCGGTTAGTACATTTATACGTCAACAACACAATAGCTCTAATAGCCGCTCCGATAGTCAAAGTTCTACAAAAACTGTTCCTCCTAGGTTGGATTATAGAAGTATGGTATCAGTGGATGATATGCCTGAGCTATTTGTATCTTTTGATAGTAAGTAATATATTTTTATTTTAAGTTTTCATATTTCATTTGACTCTATTTTACTAGAACTTATACCAAGACCCGTCCATACTTTTGAAGAACCTGCTCCTTTATATTTAAGACTCAGAATGGGTAAACCAAAAGATAAGAAAATACCAAAATCAACACCAATTATGTCTTATGGCAAGAAAAAAATGAAACCAGAGTATTGGTTTAGTGTTCCTAGAAACAGGTATGTCAACAATAAATACTATTTGTTACAAAATTGGCTATAAGTAGTTAATTAGTATAAATTATTAAATTAAAAGTATTTATGTTTAAATAAAACTTATAAATTTTAATTGAGACAACCTGAATTAGAAATTTATTTTCTATTTCAAGTTTTTAAAGATCTACTGTGAGATATTTGAATGGATTTTCTCACATATTATTTCTTTAAAATTATATAAGCATTTTCTAATAAGATATTTTGAGAACCCATGTGAATTATAGCAATAAAAATATTAAAAAACACTTGTAATGTGTTTTAACAAATTGCTTAGACTATTATGTTATACTGCACTTCATTTTACCTTTAATATTGTAAAATGTATTGTACTGATATAAACAATTTTGATGAATAATAAATCATCTTGTTTTGCTTTTCTACAAAAATTTTCTTCTCTTAATTATTTTAAATGGTAATTAAAAAAAAACATTTTATCAATTAATTTGGTTTACATGAAAGTGCAAATATTAAACTTTTTTCAAATTAAAATTTCTTCAATAGGGTTTTTCTCTTTATTACATTATTATTAAATTTTATATTTAATAAATAAATTATAATTAATTTTAGGGTGGATGACCTTTATCGGTTCCTTATGCTGTGGGTACCACATTTGTATGGTGATCTTGATGAAGAAGTAGTAGCTTGTCGTGGATTTGAGTTAGTTGAGTCAGATACAGAATTATGGGAAGAACCAGAAACTCCACCTGGTGATAGTAATGATAAAAAACTCGATAGGCATGAAAGTGAAGCAGGTGATCTCACACGTGAATCTTGGGAGGTAATTTTAAATAAATTTATTTAAATAAAATATTTAAAATATAGGCTACTGAATAAATAATGTGTATATTATGACATACTTGGATATTAACAACAAAAAGGTTTTAAAATTATGAGAGAAACAAAGTATTATTTAATGTAACTTTATGTATAATGTTATTTGTGTCTAAAGGTGTTAAAAGCGCCATATTCAAAATTGTACTCGTTACTGAAGACTCAAGCCGATCAGTTCGGATCGTCAGATTCGCAGGCTAACAACGAGGTACATTGTTGTTGATTTATAAATGGGCATGGACGTAGCTTGAGAAATTTTTTGTGAGGGCTATAGTGCCATATTCTTTTCATAAATTTGGATAAATAACCTGTCAGGAAGCTTCTCTACTACATTACTTTATCTCCCTCCAATTATAAAAATAATTTCATTTGGGGGGCTACAAATATTTTTATGGTAGTAAAAGATCCCCAACCTCATGAATGCTATGGTAATGTACATGGGAGTGTTTAAATCTATTTTGTTGTTTAGTAAAAAACAGAATTTGTTTATAATTTAATATATCGATTCAATTCTGAAATTAAATGTATAATGGGCATTTAATTATGCTAAATGTTTTATGTTAGTAAGCCTTTTTTGTTAGACTTATAGGCTTTTGGTAGCAATCTCTATGCACACTTATTATTAATTAACACAAAATTAGATTAGTTTACTTTTAGCTAAAGTTAGTTGTCTAAAGTTTGATGCTTTTAGTTTCTTATTTATGTTCAATATTATTTTATTTAACAATTTGTTTTTCACTTTTTAAACAATTTAAGTTTTTTTTTATTATTTTAGTGCTGTGATTTACTACTACTTAAGTCGAAATAATTTACTAATAACAAGATTTTGTACTTTTGTACAAATAAACCATCACTAAATTATTTATCATTCTCTTATTAATATAAATTTAGAATTATATTTGTGTAATAATACCATGTGTTAGCTTTACATTTTAAAAGTCTCTAAATTTTAACATTATTTTTTGTTTTTGAACGTATTATATCATTAAAAAAAATTTGAAATTCAGATATGTTTTATTAGATAGCATAAATACTAGTAAAAATATATTTCCATCAATAATACAAGATTTGTAAAGTGTATTTTGACTCGAGTGTAATTAAAAATTACCATCCAAATTATAAATTAACACATTTTTTTTATTCGCCTATCTACTGTTATTATTATTATTTTTTAAATCGATTACTCTCTAAACGTTTTTAGCTACTAGTATTCTAATATTGGTTTATTGAGGTGTTGATACAATACGCATGTAAAATTTGGTCACTAATCATTTGTAGTTCGTGCGTACATGTGGTAGGTAAACGTTTAGGTTCTCATTATTTACACATTCACTAACAACAGACTTCAATATAAATTAAGTGACGTTTGTTATTTTTGTATGATTTAAACTACATATTATGATATACGTGAGTTTTCAAGTAAGAATATACGTCACAAAATAAATTGTCGACTACTCAGACATAGATAGTTTGTACATTATTATTTTCTACTGTTTTATTTTTCGTCGTGTTGTATTGATATAAGACTAAAGTTAAAATATATTTATAAAACCACTAAATATGTTTGACATCACGTATAATTTCCCTATGTGTCACAGGAAAAAAGTTACATTACTTAATACGCAAAAGTAATCATTGGGTTATTATGAAAGAGTTTTTACTTGATTTTTTTGAATATACATTGCTTAATAGATGCGTTTGATGTTGATCATGTATCTTTTGTCTTAAATTAAGTTGATTTTCATTATAAATTAAATCTTTAAAAAGTTTTTTTATATATAACACGGGAAATATGCAAATGAAAAAGTATTTTTGTAATTTTGAGATTTGATAATTTGTTTATAAGTCTTAGCTTACTTAGTTTTAAGTCTTAGTGTATTCAGAAATGTTCGATCATCTATTTTATATTCTCGCAAAAGTGATTAAATGTCTTGAAAATAGTCCATTAATTTTTAATTTTAAATGCATTTGAAAGTCATGTTTTCTAAACTGACATAATCTTCTTTGAAAATTATTTATCATTTTTTCCATTATAAATTTACTTTTATCAATCGTTGATAGTATTATTCTTCTTTTCGTTCGTTTTCATATTTATTTATAAAATCTTAATAAATCTTATTCTAATTATAATTTGTCAATGGACAATATCGATTTTTACATTATCAAAGTTAGAAAAATATTGACGCGTATTTTTTGACGAGAATGCTATTTTCTGTAATTGATTTCTGTTTTTTCCTCGTTATTGACAAAAGAATGAACCATATTGGATGAAAACAAAAGAAAAAAAATATTTAAACGAATGCATTGTTTTTGTTTGTCCAAACTCTGGAAGGTGTGCATTATAGTCATAGCTTTATTGAACTAGAAGGGAAATAACTTTCTAGAATTGACAGTGTTCCAATCTGTCGTTCAGTCGTGTAGCTTTGCTATCAGTTTATACGACAGTAACAGATTTGGTCGGTCATATTCGTCACTCCATGTGTCCTAAGTATTTTTGGCTTATAGTTCAAAAACATAGTACGCTTTACTTAAGAATTTTTTTCTTTTAAATTTGTGTAGTGAGTGTGTGTAATGTAATTTAACTTAGTTTTCAGTATTAAGTAACCAATACTGTTATTATTTTGATCGAAATTTTCGTGGATACTATGAATAGTCTCGGAAAACCAAAAACAAAATTGACGTTGACAAAAGCTTTTGTCCGAAGAGCTCAGCAGTTTTTAAAAAAGCGCAAAGTAATCGGATTTTATAGTGTGTTAAATAGGTTAGCCTTATATCATATTATTTTTATATCCAATCTTCTTCCTTTCAAGTTTTCTATTTGTCCAATTTGGAAGGGAAAGTTATATAAATCGAAAACATTGTATTATTATTATTTTTTAATCGGAAATATTTTTACTTCATGTTTACCTAAGTATTTTTTCTCATAACAAACTTTTAAATAATAATGTTTATTTCATAATTTTTGAACTATTTTCAATTCTCGTCCGTTCATAAATCGTGTAAAAAAACACGTTTTAAAATATAAATTTTAACTTTTTTTGGTCTTAGTTTTCATTTTTATTTTTATATTGTGTAAAAATGTATACTTTACATCATAGTATTTGTGTTTTTTTTTTACAATTTTCTTTCAAGTTATTAAAAACAAATATCTTTTATACCTCATTTCATAAAGTTATAGATCTCTTTTCGATACCCGCGAGAAATATTATGATGTTGATCTAACTATTTTAAATTTATCCTATTCAATTTTTTAAAAAAATAAATCAATATGCACACATTTTAGGATAACATATTGTAAATATATATTCAATTCTTCCATTAAAATTCCTAATAACATTTGTATTTTTTATTTTAGTATATTTATTTTGTGCAATTGTACTCAATGTCCATTAAAGTGATAAAAATCAGTTTAAAATGTAAAGTTAATGACGAAGTTAATTTATAGTTTTTGTTTTACTTTTTGATTTAAAAATCACGTATTTTATATTTTTATCAAATTATGCGAACTTTAATAAACAATTTTTATATATTAAGAATTTATGACCAATATATATTTTCAGTTATTTCTATTAGCTAGTTTTGTATGAACTTTAAATAGCATATTCTATTTTCTATTTTCATTGCAAATAGAATAATTATAAGTAGAATCTTATACGTAGGATTTTTACATTTATGACATTTGGTATATATAAATTTTCATTTAAAAACTTGACATTGATTTTTTATGTTATTTATTCTTAGCAATACATTCTTTCATCAAATAAATATAACCATTAATTTCGTTTGGTTAAAATAGCAGATTTTGTGTAGTTTTATTATACTTAGCATCCGGCAAATATTTTTAGTCTAAGAAAATTGTCGTAAACACATACTGGACGAAAAGTTGGCGATATGCCTTTAAGAATTTAATTTGACTATTAAAATACAAGATGTTATAATTTTATTATTTTACATAATAACCAATGAATGAAATTTATCCAAATAAGTGCTACGTTATTGTATGTTAATTCAGTTAAAATATGACTACAAGAGTTAAACTTAATTAAGTCTAGTTTAGTTCAACGATGCGTTGAGTTATTATCATTTGTTAGACTACGAATTACATTAATCTTAAGCGTTTTGTTTACTAAACTATGATAAGTTGTTAATCTAAGAACTAATTTTAAATAATTGTCCAAAACACAAACCGTTTACAGTAACTTCAGCTTCTCTATAAGTATTTATTGAATAATTTCGAGATTGTGTTTTTCTGGGATTTCAATTGTTGGGTTGTAGTACTGTTAAACTGTAATTGTGACATTAACAATAATTATTTGTATAGCTGAAAAATTGTTAATACTTTAAGTCATTTTAACGATTACTTTTATTTTGCATAATATTTTTAAATAGTCGCGTACGCTTTTTTTCATGTTACGTCGTGCAGCTAATGATATTAGTTAATAATTCTTAAAAAAATAACAACAATTATAATAACGCAATTGATATTTATATCTAATACATGCCAACGATCGTTATATATTTAATAGTATTAAAACTGGAACAAACAAAAGTTAAATGGAATTTTTCTTCTTAACTTTCAGCAGCTTATGTAATTTGATATAAAATCATTCAATTATCATTATTCAAACTTATTAATTTATTCGAATTTACATTTGATTTATTTCAATAAATTGAATTTTTTTTTCTTTAAGTTTGAACATTCTTATACATTTGTTAAGAATTTTTTTTAGAAATTTTTGGACTTTAGCCAATGAATGAACTATATCTGAATTAATTGTTTTTTTCGTATCATTATTCAAGGGTTAGGCGCCAGTTTATTTTTATCAAACAATTTAATTTCTAAAGAGCACTGTTAAAAAATAAATAAATAAAAAAGAATGCCTTATGAAGTTATTTTGTGAATGTTTGAAACAGACGCATAATAATAACTGGGAATATGAAAATTTTCAATGAGCTATTGTTTGTAATATTTTGTTTTGTTTGAGTCGTGGCACTCCTAGGTTAACAACAGGATGAATCAATTTGCCTCCCATTGCACTAAACAAACTTTTTTACTATTATTATTTATTTTTATCCCTCGTTAATCAACAAGAATCAATTATAGATATTAAATTTAATAATTTTTTTTTTTTATGGCTAAAAGTCATCACTGTCGATTCGATCCAATACAATTTAATTTAATTTTTAAAATACATTTTGTAAAATGTATTAAAACGAACCTTTGATAATGAATAGCTTTAGATGTTTTATCAGAAAAATGTTGTCAATTTGTCTGAAAGGAGTCCTTACGAGATTCCCGTAGGATCTATACTAAATTAATAAATTTTTTAATTCAATTAATAAAAATTTGATTATTATTATTTTTAATTACTTTTGACATCGTTACTGCTTGACATGCAGCTGACCTCGACCAAGAAGCTGACATTTTTTGTTAAAATCATTGCGTTAGAGAATGATAGTACATGTAAAATTACTCATTATTTTATATTGTCTTATAATATTGCTTCAAACTATTAATAACCACTTCTAAGTTTTTATGACTTAAAAATTACAAAAAAAAAATCCAATGTCTACCGATGATAATATTGTTGGTAAGATATACTAAATATAATTATAAATCGTATACTTAAAAAAATATTAATTTAATTATTGTTTTGCCCATTGAATATATAATTGTTTGTTCTTGTGTTGCAACAGATATAAAATTATAATGATAATTATGGTAATATTATTGTTGTATTTGTAATTAGTGGACCACATCATATTAAAGTTTCAATTATACACATCAGTAAATGTACCTAGTTGTTTATTGTAGTTTTACAATCGAGTAGTATTTTTTACTAGTGGTCGTAAAATTTTTTAAGCATGAGTAGAATTATGTATCCATAAGGATACTGGTCAAACTAAAATTACTTATGAATATTCTAATTAGTAATTTGTACACCTACTACTTTTTGTATTGCACTTTTTTATTTGTTTAGATAAAAAAAAAATACATTATTTTTTTATAACGTTTTAACTTTTTTTCATAGGTACTGTCTATGAGCGATGAACTACGACGTGCGTTCTACGCCAACAGTGTCAACTCGTTGGATTTTGAAGCGTACATACCAGATTTACATGGAGTAACCGAAATAATGACTGAAGATCACAGAAAACAGTTGAGTAGGCATCTACCAGCTAGAGCTGAAGGTATGTTCAACGAATAATCTTTAGTTGCATTCTCTGTTTTAAATGTAAATAAATATTATAATCTTTTTGGGGTAGATTATTTATTTTTTATTTTTTGTAATATTTGTTTTAATTATAAAAATTAGCTAATTAAAAATCAGACCTCTTTTGAATAGAATTTTATAATAGTCATCATTTAACAGTTCAAAATAAGTTACCTTTCATCATAGAGTCAAATTATTAGTGTGTCATATAACTTATATAACTGTAATAGAATTCATCCTGTTCTTTGTATCCTTAATTGATGTATTAAATTTTTCTTTGATGGAACCAGATGTCCTATTAACAAATTTATTGGGGCAAATCATAAATAAATATGATATTTTTAATTAGTTTTTTTTTTACAGGATATATGTGGACATTAATTTTTAGTACCCTACAACATGGATTCTCTCTAAACTCTATGTACAGGAAGATGAGCAAAGTTGAAAGTCCCATTCTGTTAGTTATACAAGACACCCAAAATAATGTAAGACAATTTTATTTTATGGTAGAAAATATGTTACAATCTTAAACTTTTATAGGTGTTTGGCGCACTTACATCATGTGCATTAAAGATGAGTGATCATTTCTATGGTACTGGTGAATCTTTGCTGTACACATTTTGTCCTGACTTTCAGGTATACAATTGGACAGGTGACAATATGTATTTTATTAAAGGCAACAATGAGAGTCTTTCAATTGGAGCTGGAGAGTGAGTACATTCATCATTTGAGTATCTATTCAGCAATTATAACAGTTTTAAAATATTTATAACAATTTATGATTTGAATTTTTTGCATAAATTTTTTGGGTCTAATTTGGATTTAGTTAAATCGTAACTGTATTTGTTTTCTAAAAAACTTTTTTATATAAAATAAACATTCATATTATTATTTACAAGCTTATTCAAAAAGCCGTTTGTCAAGTTATATTGATTTTTAAATTATTTTTATAAAACATTGAAAATGAAAAAATTTTAATTTTAAGTTATTTATTTATTTTAACAACATTTAGAATATTATTTATTTTGTTTAGTGGTAAATTCGGTTTGTGGCTTGATGGTGATTTAAACCAAGGAAGAACTGAAGCATGCAACACCTACGGCAATGACCCTTTGGTTCCAGAACAAGATTTTGTTGTCAAAATCCTAGAGTGTTGGGCGTTCCTATAAATCAAATATAAACCATTTTACAGACACAATTTACACATTCTTTTTTTTTGTTTGTTTGTTTTTTGAATTATTATTATTATTATTATTTATTAGGTGCTAAAATATTAATCTTGTTAAGAATTTAAACAAAACAAAAAGTTCAACAATTAAATTAATATATAATAATTTATTTTTATTCACAACAACTATTCCTCCTGGCGGCCTGTTCCCACCTTTCTGTTGTACCTGTTGGCTGTTTGTAAATAAAAAAAAAATGAAAAAAAACAATTTTAGCTCAATAATATTTGAAATTGTAGTTACTTAGTTTTTTTAAATTTAATTTATACATGTTGAAAACTGTTTATTGCGGTGTAATTTTAGTATTTATCTAGTCTCAGTGAGCTTAAGTGTCATCAGTGTTGCCTAAACAAAATTTTAAAATGTCTATTATGTGGCAGCACTGAACTTTAAAATTTATTTTTACATTTATGAAATTAAATATCTTTTTAAATGAAATTATTATTGTAATATCTTATTTTACCCTTTGAATTCAGGGACCACTAGTCATCGCACATGTGCACATCCACACGTGCCCTTGCACAAAAGAAAAAAACATTCTTTATTAACGGCTATTAGACAATCACAAACCATTGAATTTATCCTCAAATTGATTATCCCCTTTTTTTACCACACCTTCATGGAATCTCTTCATTTGTTTAATTAATTACATATTTTGTATCATTATAATGTGGCAACACTGATTTGGTAGCCAGACGCTGTAGTTCGTAGATTATGATATTAATATAACTACTACTAATAATAAAGTTTTGAAACTTATTAAAAAAAAGAAATTAAATTTTTAACAAATTATATTATATATATATACACACAAATATATATATATATATACTAATAATAACATAATTGTGATAAGTCTTGCATTGGCCTGATGTAGTATTATCTTATGTGTTAGAGCGTAAAGCAAACTATTTTAGTTTAAGTTATTTTAGATTATCAACTATATAAATTAAAGTACTGTACCTCTAGCAAAGTCAATTTCGTAGCAATTAAGATGGATTGTTGAATACATTTATTTTTTTTGTTAGAGAATTTTGGTGCGTGAAAATGAAAAAACACTAAAAAGTTGTATTAGAAAAATAATCGTAATTTATATTTGATAAAAATATTGATAACTTATAAAATTTAATTACCTTTATTGTAATGTTATTTTCACTGTAGATAAAATATGTTTTTATTATTATTTTATTTTAGTTTATAGTGATGTATATTATTATATTATCTATTATTATAATTACTATTTTAAAAATAAACAATTGTGGGCGATAAGACGATTGTAATATTATATTGTGCATACCAGTTTAAAATATTTAAATTGTAGGCAAAGTGCTTTGTGTTTTGTTTTTAATTAATATTTATTATTTTATTTTTTCAAAGTATTTTAAATGGTATTATTTATAAATTCATATTATAATTGTTACTGTTGCGCGAGTGATTTATTTTGATTTTGACGTGAATAAAAGTTGGTGTAACGTTAAAAATCATTATTTTTTTATTTTGTAAAATTCTTAAGTTTCAACTCTATATAAATTTAATGTTTACATAATGTGATTGTTATCATCATTAATTATTTATGTATATTGACTATTAATGCATAGGATTGAGTACAGACCTTGTATAATAATATTTTGTTTCTCTTGGACTTGTTCACTTTATTGAAGTGGGCTTGTTAAAATTGAAAATGAATGGAGAAAACGTCAATTATTGGTTCAAAGGAAATACTATAATACTTTTTTATATTAAATTATTAATATTAAGCTATTAAATACAATTATTTACGAAAAAATAATTTTACTCTAATCAATCAATTCCTATAGGTAATATATCATTATATTTCATACCAACAAATTTAAAATCATATTATTTATAAAAATAAAAGGAAATATTCTGAAGGATTCATTCATGAATCAAAGTTTAATGAATTTATTATAGTTTATAAAACATATTGTTTACTATATACGCAGATATCTATTTTTAAAAATTACCCTGTATAGATACTTTGAATTATGATGGTAAAAACTGTGCCTTGCATTAACACTCAAGGTTGGGTTGGCTAAATGAAGTAATCCATTTTGCATAATATATTAATTTAATTATGAGAGTTATTTCAATAAATAAAAAATAAAATTTATTCATAAATATAGTCAATGAATTGGAATTATAAATTTGCTAATGCACTAGGATGAGTTTTGTTGATCTTGGACGTGTATCGTTCAAGATTATTTTGCTCCATAAAATTTAAAAAAAAACCATAATTTCAAAATAATTTTTAAAATTTCTTTAAATTTTCTATTCATTTTTATGGCTTCTTTTAAATTGAAATTTAAATTAATTTCCAAAATTCAGTTAAACGAGGCTTGAATAAACATTTATTATGCACATCACTGAATGGATTCATACAATTAATGCATTCAAAAAGACATTTTATATAAATTTTTTAAAATATTAATCGAAAAAGAGATATTAAGCCACATTATACAGATTGTTTGTAACAATGAGAACAATAGAAACCCGTTTCCTGACTTACTGAACACCCTGTATAATTATCAAGTGAAAATACATTTTAATGTTTTTTATTTTTTAAGTTGTTTTCGCATTTCAACACTATAATTGTCATATAGTTATCTACTCATTATAAACGACTATGTTTTTGATTTGTAGTTCTGTTGAAAAATTTGAAAATAAACTTATTTATGCAACTCAGTTACAGATAGTTTTTAAAGTATAGTTAATAAAAACATAAAAGAAATTTAAAGAATCAATTAATTTTATTATTTTTTACATAATAATTTTCACAATATAAGGCAAATTAAATTATTAGTAATCTTCTTTAAAATGAAGTATCCAAGATTTGTTTATTAGCTGACTACTTAGAAATTTTCTTTTAAAATGTATCCATTTGTTGCATATTTTTGTATAAAATCATGCTTATAAATAAAGTATATATTTAAAATTTTATTAATCAATGGCGCAACTAACGAGGAAATTGACTACATAATATTTTGGTCCCGTTGAACCTCAAAGGTTTTATCAATGCTTTTTTCTCATTATGTCGAAATTTAAAAATATTTATTTAAAAGAAAAAAATTATCAACATTTATAAAGAGACAGCTTTCAAGTAAAAACGAACTTTTAAACTTTTATAATACTCACTTTATATTACCTTAAGGTCAAGTTGTTCCACTGACAGCATTTTATTATAAAATATTAGATATTTACAAGAGATCAGTTCGCACTGGGTTAGCCAGTTTAATAATCGGATTGGTCTTGGTCGGTTCGTAATATTAATCATGTTTATGATTGAACCGAATTGTAATTTAATTTAAAATGGAGTGGGTTGAATTAAACATTAATATTGGATCGTAAACGCTTTTTTTTTGCGAAAAAAAAATTAGGTAAACGATTCTTTACTTTGAAAACGAATATTAGTGAATCTTCAACAGAATAAAATTTGAATAATTGAAATCTTTTAATTAATTACATATTGAAAATATTAATATTGTTAAACACAACTAATTAACATATGATAATTAAAACATAAAAATGAATTCAAACATTAATCATTTTTATTAGGAATGATCTTAGAGTTCATTTTTTGGGGAGTATTAAGTGAATTTTGCTGATTTAACTATGTGATTTTTATAGAGATCATTAAAAAATATATATATTTATAGCGTAAGAGTACACGTTGTAAGATCGTTTTTTTTAATTGTGATATTTTTTTAATGAACCGGATTAAATTTGATTATTTTTTTTTTAATTTATTGCAGGCTTAAAATTTTATTATACATTTGAATCGGGTCTTACCGGCCAAGTCTATTGTAAAAGTTGACCGATGGTTCGCGGAAACACATAATCTGATCTCAGGAGATATTCAGAAGTTGGGGCTGATGTTAGCAGTTAAAAATCCAAAGCCGTTTTGTTCAGAAAGAACCGAGACCAAAAATATCACTGATGGCCACAAATGTGGCTGTTAGTGATTGTATGGATTACTTGGGATATTAGTAGACAAGAACCTAATGTTCGCAAGTGCGACATCGATTGTTATCCAATGTTATGCATTCAATAATATGGTATGAGGTTCCTATATGGTCTAATGCGCTTCTACACGCGAAGACAAACAAGGCGCCCTAGCAAAAGTACAGCGGAGTATATGTGTCTTTAGAACTATTAGGTATAGTGCTATCAACTTTCTTGCAACGTCAGTCCTACCGAATTATTATCGACAGAGAGAGAGAGAGGACGTATGTTAAACGTCGTAGTCTAACCTAGAAGAACGTTGTTTGTGAATGTTATCCAAGCGATGTACGCTGGACCAGTAGATAATCCAGTTAGACTCTGCTGAGTAATGTGAATGGATTTGAACTTCGAGACTTGCACAGTTGGGTAGAAAGATCATATGGCCAAATAGATTTTTATTTGACACAAATCCTATCAGGCCATGGTTGTTTTGTAACGTGCGTATAGTCGTAAAGTAAAGAGGGCAATCCGTCAAGACTGTCACCACTGCAAAGCTCCGATGGATGACGCCGCACACACACGCTGTTGGTCTGTCCAGCGTGGAATGCGGAAAGAGTACAGCTGCACAGAGGGATTGGACCAGTAGACACATGTACTCTGTTGGAGAAAATATTAGGCGCTATGATAATTGGAACTCGAGCGATTACTGATAGAGTGATGCTTGGGAAAGAGGAAGCTGAGCCGATGTGGCAGACTCAGTCGCCATAACAATCACGAGTTTTAGTATAACAATCAGTGTTTAGTTTATATTGTCCACATTTGAAGATTAATACTGTAAACATTTTAAACAAATTAAATCACTTATAATAAAAAAATATAGCAAATTTGTTGGAGTATTGTTCCGATTCTTTACTTTTTTTATTTATTTAATATATATAAATATTAAAGTTGAATAAAATCTTAGGCTTTAATTTTTTTTCATAATGGATAAGTTTTAATAGAATATACATATTATTATAACATTATTTCTATTCTAAGATATTTAATACATTATATTGAATATAAAACTGGAAAGTAGATGTATCCATTCTGTATTTACATGTATCTTTTGGTAACTTTTTTCATTAGACTGGAAACTGATAAATTATATTTTTTATTTATCAATATGAAAAATCAATCAATATAACTGTTTAACATACACAGTATGTTTAAAACATGAAAATGTTTTATAATCCATTAACGCCATCGCCGACGTTAAAATTTAACTGATAATGACTAGAACTCTCATAAGTAGGCCTGGAAAAAATTTAAACTGCGAATTAAATAATTAGTAATATAAATTGTTGATCAAACGCACCAGAAACGATTTTCAAATCATATTAGGAAATTTTGAAACCATCTCCATGCACTAGATTTGCAAATCGCTTTTCGTCTTGGACAACCGTAATGCTTTAAACATAAAGCCAGTTGTTGGTCGCATTCACAAAGCCGCTGACTACAGCCATCACCTAAAGCTGAAAAATGAAAAAATAAGTATAAAGTGTAAAAAAATTTACTGAAATTTTTCAGACAACAAGAATTCTTTAATAAATTTAATTTAAAACATTTACAGTTTAAAAAAATCTTGCTTTAAGTTTTCTAGAAACAAAAAAAAAAATGTTTTAAATAACAGCTGATGTTTTTTTTTTGATAAAACACACTTTTTAAATAACTATTTGTGTAGAAAAAAACATCATAGTAAAATTAATACCTTCGCATCGAAGTTAAAAAAAAAACACCTTATTATTACTGTAGTAGAAGTTGAGTAATTAATTATCAACCACTCTGTTTATAATACTTTATATAGTGTTCAGTAAGTAAGAAAAAGGGCTTTTATTATTGTTATTGTTTGTAACAATTGAACTGCTTCCTTACTTTTTGAACACCCTCTATAACTGTGGCTTTTCAATTGTAAATAAAAATAAATAAAATAAAATATTACGAATTTAAAGGATTAAAAAACAAAAGAAAAAACTCGGTGAGCATTGTATAACGGACTCAAAAATAAAATCCGAAAAGTCAAAGAATATCTTGTGAATAGAAATTAAGCTTTGAAATACAATAATATGAGCGAAAATAATTCAAAATAATCTAAACAATTTTAAAGTAAACAATAGAAAAATATTATAGTCCGACAAAAGCAGTGTTAAAGAAGAAAGATTTTCCCTTAGCTACTGTTAGGCTTACATCAAACAAAAATAAATAAATAAATTGTATAATTATAATTTTTTTTTACTCTTCATATTAAACTATAGTACGAATACCGATCAATTTATTTTCTATAAATACAAAATTATAGTAATAATAAGGACATAAAATATAAAGGACATAAAGAACACTTAATCCAATCGCTATAAATTATACTCGAATGAAATTGAGAAACTCCCAAATGAAAATATTATTTTCTTCCTTTCAAATGGAAAAATGAAAATTCTATGCACGCTATTAAAAAAATGTCAGTATTTTAGCGATTATATATTATTAAAAAAAAAAAAGATATCTGTTGTTTTTTGAACTTAAAGAAAATTAGTACTGTTCTTATTTGAATGGAACAAACAAGTAAAAACGAGATGATTTACTAAAACAAAACAAACGTCGCAGGAGAGTAAATAATTTTTAAATTTCGTTTAAAATAATAACTTTATCCTGCAACTACGTCAAATTGAATAGGATCAAGAAAAATGGAATTAGATGTAAGCGGATAAATGTCGAATGTGATTTTTCGAGAAAGCTTCGACTTTGTGTATATGCCTACAGGTAGTCATTAGTATCTTTTGAAATATATCAATTGATTTTGTTTTGTATATATTTTTTTAAATCGTTTGTTGGAAAATCGCTTGTATCGTACATTATTATGTATTCTTATAAATACAAAATCATCAATAATTGTACAAAACTTTTAGTGTACTAGGTATATCGTTGAAATGATCACTGAATTGAAACATCAACAAAAAAAACGATTATCATAAAACAAAATGTGATAATCGAATATTATTTCACTTAAATTTTTACTTACAGCACAATGGTTTTTGATTATAACAAGTCCACACATAAGGCGTGAAGTACTCGAGGAACATTGGACAATCAGCGCCGTTGTAACACCAGTCGTGCATTTTGCAGCAGCTGTATTGGCAACCACAAACGATCCGAAAATAAGAAAAATTAAAAATTAATGATGGAAAGATTACAGTAGTTAAAATTGCGTTTAACTTGTCTATAGGATCGACCGGAGATCCAGAACCAAGGAAACCACAATAACAACCGTATCCAAGATAAGCAATTGGATTACAGCCAGTTGCGCATACTACCATGTTGTATAGTTGAAATGCACTTCTCTTAGATCTGAAAGAAAATAACACTTACATTATAAATCCAATCTTCTACGTGTATATAAATGTGTTTAAATTTTTTTTTATTAGTTTAGGCTATATTTATAAACAGAAGTGTATTTTTATTTGTCTGTTCTGGGCAACAAAATATTTAGGTCCTTAAAACAGGTAATTTACTCCTAAGATACGTTTTTTAAAATTTAATGCATTGTAGTGTGTAATTATAAAATTCAATCGAAAATATTGATAAAAAGTAGAAAAATGTATTTTTTCCTGTGTGTCAAAATATCAATATTTTGCTTTCAACGTAAATAATTAAATATTCAATTTCCTTGACATCATCTTCCGGAAAAAAATATATGTAATCAGAAATACCGCGAAAGTGTTTCACTGGTTAACAGCTATCGGTTTCATTAACTGAACCATTTGAATAATTTATTACGAAAGAAAAACTTTTATATCCGTTCCATTAAAAAAATATGTTTTTGAGAATCACTTGTAAGTTATTTCAACAACAAATATTACATACGCAAACATCATACATTTATCATGTATATCCTTTTTTAGGCCACACATACCTTAATTAAAGAAGAACAAATTTTTATGTCGTGAGATGCACAGCTCAGTTATAGTTAGTGTTGCAATAGTTATTTTAGAATACAGTTTTAAAAATCATTATCTATGCGTTATAATTACACCAAGACAGTTCACACGAGATTAGTTTCGGTACAACCAGTGACGACACGGTTATGGTAGAAAACTTTTTGAGTGTAACAATGCATATATTTAATTACAAACAAAACGGCTAAGAGACTCGTTTTGCGAAATTTTTATTAAATGAGAAAATATATTTTCAGGCTACACATATAAACATTTTACTGGTACCCAGAGACGTATTTATATAAAGGTAATTTAGGCAACTGCCTGCAGCGGTATATTTTAAGGGGCGGGAAATATTGAATGCCAACATATTTATAAAAATATAGTTGTTTTTTTATTGTTGTTATGATATATTGACTTCCTAATAATTATCATAATTGTTTTCATTTATTGTGTATTTATGATATGTATACGTATCGCTACAAGCAATTTATCTTAATTTAATTTATTAATAAACATAGATTTGCTTGAAAAATATTTTTAAATACTTTTTTCTTTCGAGGAAGAATTAGTAGGGTTATGGCAAAAATATATAAAAATGAGCCCCCTCAATCGTAACTTAATGAAGGGCGGCAAATTTTTAAATGCCTATAGGCGGAAAATATGTGAATACGCCTCTGGATGTACCAAGAATAATATATCTTTAACACTACTTATGAGTACATAACAAATCATTCCTTATACTACAGCGAACACTTTAATTAGGTAGTTTGCTTACCGATTTTGTAATTCTTTATCTTTGGATTGGTCAGCTGTGCTTTCCAACACCGCCGAAGGTCCCCAAGGATTATTAGTGTAGCCGATGTACACGTCTATTGGAATCATGGTACCATTTTTGTGGTGTATTCTTCGAGTCAATGTACTAATGTCGGCTATAAATAATAGTATTTTCATTAAAACAAGCAAAAAAATTACTGATAATTGATAATTAATGTTAGTTACGAAATTAATAATTACTATAGTACTTCATTTTTGTCTAAGGCGACAATACTTACATTTCGCCTTTAGAATAACAATAGAAATATAACTAACTAAAAAAACCATAATAACATAGTTATTGCGGATTTACGAGCCTTTTACTTTTGGCACGCTACGCAATGCTTATACGTTGATTGATGACGTGTTTTGCCACAGATTATTTTGTACCGAATACTGTGAAAAATCCACAGAATCCTTGACAAGATAAGATTATAACCTGCATGGCGTGTCTATGTCCACAAATCGTTTGTCGGAAGCTGCCAACTACATTTGTTTTGATGTTACGTGAGTGAATTATAAAAATGTCGACGATTTGATAATAAATTAAATAATAAAATGATAGGATATTTTACAGAAGTCCTATTATGAGCTTTTACACACAATTTTTATTAAAAACAAACTGTTTGTTGGACACAGTAACAGAAGAAAATTATACTATAAAATAAATTACTCGAAAAATAATAACAAAATAATTTAAATAGAAAAGTTCATTTAGTCTTAATGAAATCGGTTTTATTTGATGTTTGATGAAACGATAAATGATTAAGTGTTTAAAAAATTATTGGTCGGTTAAAAATAATTTAATTTCTCATAAATTGGCTTTTTTATCTCTGATAATTACAACAAAAAAATAATCACAGTAAATTTATTAATTCTTACTTATTCAAGTAGAAATTAATTATTTATATTTTCTTTATTAAATTTATTTTTAATAGTAATCCAGTTAAACATGTCAATGTCATAAAAGATAGAGGAAAATAAAACGAACTATTTATACAAATCGTATATATTATATACGAAAATATATATTATAATAAAAAATATATAAAATATATATATATTATATACGAAAATGTTTAATTTTGAAGATAATATAAGACGTAGTCCAAAAATTATCCAATCTTATGGTTTTTGTTTAACAAATTATTTTTGTAAAATAATTTTCTTTCACACACATTTATTTCTTCAATTTTTGATAGAAGACTTTAAAAGTCATTTATCATAGTTAATAGTCTATCGTTGAGTGTATTTAAAAAATACTGAGTTATTTGATATGATTTATATCATATGAATGCACCTATTTTAATGACTGCAGCATGACGGTAATCGTTTTCTTTTCTGTTTAAGTTTTCTTTTTAATAGAACAAGGTCTCTTCTGTCAATACCTATTTGTATTATAATATTTTGTATTCTGTTACAGTAATAATAACATAACGATAATTGAACTGAAAAATTCCGTGGCCAAGAAGTTAATTATATGTATGTAGCGTGTACACAATAGGGTTGTATTGACTGGGTGATAATTAGCAAAAAAACGGTGAAGAAAATCAACGACCTTAAAAAGACACACTCATACATTTTTATCTACACAAATAAAATAATATCCAACTTGATTGCTTAATGTTTGGAATTTTATTTAGTTATGGCCAGTGTCTTTAATCGCATTAAGTGCTACCGCGCGACATTTCTGTGTTAAATTAAAGTAAGACTAGTTTCGGTTGAAATATCGTGATACATTCTCTAAAACAAACACTAAAGTTCTTATATTTTTACTTTAATAACCTGAGAGATGCTTCTAAGGAATTTTCACCACAGAGTATCTTCTATTCAAAGAATGTTGAATAGTGCTTGCAGCAGTGATAAATTATCTAAATAATTTGGCAAGTTATGTGTTATAAGTTCTGTGATAAACAAACACCTATGACCAAAAATATGTTTTTCCATGATAAATTAGCATTAGTGAAGATCGTGGGGAGTTAAGCCCACCAAAATAACTCATTTGAGTTTATACCCTTCTCGAAAAAAATAAGAGAAAATATTGTACATTGTTTAACAAAATTAAAATTAATAATAAATAGTTGAATTAAATTTTTTATTTTTTTTGTCACGGGAAATTACTGTAATATCAGTAATGTCAGATGTTTTATTTCTGCTGTAGTACCATTCAATTTGACAATCAATAAATATGGTTAGTAAAGTATTATTTTAACGTAAACATAAATTTTATGAATAATTAATAGTCGAGAGTTATCATTTTTACACTTCTTATCGTTGTTATTTCAAGATAAATTAAACTGTAATCCGTAGTTTATATGAAAATAGTTTTTATGTAGTCTGTGATAAAATTAATTATTTGTGTGTATTTTTTATATGTTTAATGTATTTAAATTTAAATTCAAAAAGTTTCAAAATCTCAGTCTTGAGATCTTGCTAGTTATTTCTTACGAAGTTAAAGATATAATTTTATACAAATATATTGTCAATATAATAATTTTGCGTTTTAAAGACGACTGATGTGAGTGTAAATGATGTAGGAGATCATGTCAAGTAGAAGTTTAGGTTAAGGGTGACTGACCCCAAGTAGTTGGGATTAAGGCGAGGAAAAAGAAGAAGATTGTCAATATAATAATATTAGTGCATATAATTAAAATATAAAAACATACCCATGGAACATATCTCTAGCTATTGCATTTGGCGAATTTATGAAATTAAACTATGAGAGGGGTCCACAGTTCATTAATCACAATAAGGTAATTTTTATACTGCTTGATAATTATTCTACAAGTAAAGGAGGTGGTTACTAAATTTATCAATTTACTTGATTTAACAATGCCTATTAGTTCTGCTTCTTGCGAAAGTAGTTTTACAGGCACCAAGAATACTAAAACACGGTTAAAAATAACTATGCAGCAAAATAGATTTAATGAACTTTCAATGTGATATATAGAAAAATATAAAAATAAATCTATAATACTAAATATATTTCAAATGTATTTTTCAAAAAAATTAATAGATTAATCTTATTATGCAATAAAACATTGAAAATTACATAAAGACGTACGATTTTCAATAATTTTGAAAAATTTCAAAAAATAAAAACTCCACCTTAATATTGCTAAAATATAATTGTGTATATAATGAGATTATATAAAAGTTTATTGTACAAAAATGAATAATGTTGATGCTAAAAAAAACCCCATAAGGTGTTGTTTTTCCATTTTAGGAAATTTTAGAAGAACTTCCTTAACTCATAAATAATTTACACGTATTTAATTTAATAAGTAACTTTTCATGTTTATAAAAATATCTCAGGTTCCATATTAATTTTATGCGAGTTTAAATAATTAGATGATAACGTAACAATAATATGTTGCATAGCTTACTTTATTCTCTTACAATTTTGTTTGCTAACAAGTGGGTTACACAGATAACTGTCAATAAAGCATCTGTATAATTGTGTATTATTATTTTTATTAATTAAATGTAATTATTTGAATAATATTAATCTGGATTTTAAATACAAATATTATGAATTCTCAAATGGGTCGCAGTAAAACTACAAATATTTTTTTTAATGTAAAATTACTGGTCTTGAAGTCGTTTTTTAATAACATTTACATGTATAAATAATAATTAAAACCTAAATAGATTTTCTAATTATGTAAAGAAGTGGGAAGTGTTTGATTAACAATACCTTTGGGTAAAAAAAAAAAAAAAGGGTTCAGCTTACAATTTTTACTCATGAAGGCTTGTTTAAATAATATATTTTCTAATATAAGCATTAGTAGTATTAGTAGTAAGCATTAGTCTTTCTATGTTAATGACAATAAATAGAGTATTAAAATATAATCCGTAGAATTTAAAATATTTCAATTATTCTTATTTTCAGAAGTTACCTAAAATATGACATTAAATAAATAAATTACAACCCAATCAGTCTACAGCAACAATTTATTTTAATTAATGGTTTTATAAACGCAAAATTATTATTTTCACAAACAATGATTTTAGTAATTATTGTTAAAAAAGTCTTTTTAATACTTAATAGTTATATTGATTATCATAATAATAATTATTAAATTTGTATACTTCATTTTTGGCATAGATCATATTAAAAAAAAATAATTTACAAGATCCGTGTTTATCATGGACATTTCATGTGTTAAATGAAACATATGTTTGAAATTAGTCAACGATGATTTTTAAAAATATTTTTTAATAATTGTCAATTTTGGTAACAATAGAAATAAATTTTCGTTAAAAATATTTGAATTCCAAAAAAAAAAAAAAAATTATTTATTATTGTGTTTGTTTAATTATTACTATTTTTTACTTGGTGCCATGAAAGTCATAGAAGACAAAAGTGCTCTCCATTCTGTAAGTACTATATATTTCATAAAAATTTTATGATCACAAAAAAAAAGTTATTTTAAAACATTTACTTTTATATTGAGTCAATTAATGGAACTATCTAAAGTTCCTCTATTTGCTAGTTTTTATTTAAGTTTTCAATGTGACATTGTAAATTCAGCAAAATGACACTAAAGCTATAACAATTTTTACGTATGAGAATAACAGCCACTGGATATTGTCGACACACTCCGTCCGAGAGTGTACTCTGACAACCACAATTACTTCATCCCGGATGAAGACCAGATCATCCGTTAAACACAAAACTTTATCTTCGTGATTTGTTCAGTGGACCTATGCAGTTGTCGCTATTAAATATACGTCAAGTATTTTAAGGTCTTTATGACAGAAACTTAACAAGTTTACCTCAATTGGTACGTACGTGTCTGTGTAGTATCTGAAAATAATCATTGGCATTACATTGTAACGTGAGAAAATATTTCTAAACGCCGCTGAATTATGAAGTTTCCAATCGATAATTTTAAATTAGTATACTTATTTATAGTTGCATAATTACATAATTAATTTTTAACCAAATGTGTTAACAATTTTTAAATATCATTTACTAAAAAACAACGTTTCAAATACATGACGAAGACCTCAATTATAATTTATAGACAGGACATACACTAATTAACAAACAAAAGTGTGACATTTTTATAATATTTAAATAATGAAAATACAATTAATATTTGTAATGGAATTAAATTCATTACTAAGGTTAAACTATAAAATGTATTAATGAAGCATTGAACAAATCAAATTTGGAGGATATGAATAATTTTACCGTATCGTTTGAAAGTCTTTCCTTGTGAAATGAATTACATCATTACATAAATCTAATAACTATTATTCACTAAAAACTTATTAAGATATTTTAGTTGTTTTATATTTCTAATAATTATCGTTTATTTGAAAAAAATAAACGAGTTTATGATTTTGGTTAAGTATTCTTATGTTACTTTATTGTAATTATTTTGAGCCTTTGATTATTACTTAAAAGGTCGTACTAAACTATATCAATAGCTTAATAGTTTCGTTAAATTTTTTTTATAATTTTTCAATAAAAAAAAAAAAACTATTGCTTTAATTCATTCTCTGTTTCTTTATTATTATTATTTTAATAAATAATTTAAAAGTTATAAATATACTATTTCTTTATTGGGCAACTGGCATAAATCAATATTTCAAACACTGGAACTATTAATACTTTGTTGATAGAGGACTAATTTTTGTATTTCTGTCGGGTGTTATTTCCTAATTGCGTGTGCTCATTGTTCAAAATTGCTTTTAAATTAATATTTAATGTGTTAAATGTACAAATATAGTATTGCATAAATCTTGTTAATTAAGTGTTAATAGTTTTCTTTTATGATGATAATAATAGATACACACATAAAAGGATTATTATTAATTTTACGTTTTGTTACTAAAAAAAAAGTCTATTTAAAGTCAAAGTTACCTACACGAAACATGAATTTGACGTTTTCATTGAATATGAACTAATGAACTTATTTCCACTAGGAAAAATAATCGAAATCAGAATAATGCGATTGTTTTATCGTAATTCTTTACAGTGGAAACATATAATGTCGTTTTATCGCGTCTTAAATATAAGATTGAAAACGTACGGACGTGGAACGAATTTAGAAATAAAACATTCCGAGGAAAAGTCGTCTAAATCACATTATTCAAAAAACGACAGAAGCTTTACATGATCAGTTATACGAAGTATAGGAAATAAGTCCTATGATGTATTTCTTTTGCAGTGATTTGTAAGCCTATAAAAATGTTCCAAGATTTATTATTTACTTATCATTATTTCATTTTTGCATAATACTTTATGATAGCATGTTACTATAATCGACTCTATCCGTGAATCGTAACTCATATGAAGTGACCGCCACTCGATGTATCCTCACAACAAAGCGCATTGCGTAAACAAACCTTATTGCTCTTTCGGCCTGATGGTTCCTATAATTATACATATATGTCGTTCGCTCGTTTCAATTTGTTGCGATAGCTTTTGTAATAATTTGTTGCCTATCGGTTAAATGAGACGTAAATTGATCAAATTAACTCAGCTAGACTATTTTCGTAGACAACAGTCGTACGACTGTCATTTAAAACTGTAATTACACACAAATTTATCATAATTTTACGTGCAGATTCCAATTAGATTTTGTTTACAGTCAAATCTCCCCTTGCAGTCATAACCGTTGGCACCAAACAGCGGGAGCGTAAATACCGTGTTACTTATATCAAATACACCATCCAAGAAACAGTTAGACTTTTGTGCGTGCTCTGTGTTTTACGGCTTGTGTATGTAAAAAATAAAACCCACTACTGCGTCTTACGATGAAAAAAATGAACTATAATAATGACAACAAAAATAAAAAACAAAATACCACGAAAAAATAGAATGCAGTTCTCCAATGCTTTTGTAGTTCGTACAATATTAAATTAAATCAAATATAAAAGGGCTCAACGATCGTCTGTTAAGGTGAATGCCATAAAAAAAAGAACACAATATACACTATATGGTTTTCATTATAAAAATGAGGCACAACGGCTAACGTCAATTCTCTTTCAATAAACATTACAAACGTCCGATTTGTCAGATTTATGTGATATGTATATCACATAGATGTACATATATCAGAGAAAAAAACATAATAGTTTATGGTTGAGGTTATAAAAATTATTATGGCCGTTAGAGTGTTTTGTTAATCCCGCAGAGGCCGCGAAACAACTATTCCATAGTGTAATAAGATTAATTAAAATTTTACACAATACTAAGATCCAATATCGATTTGAAATAGCAAAAGCAGGTTACAATCGTTTTTAATTTGTGTAACCTTATTCGATTTAAATAAAAAAAAAAATATTTTTTCATACATGTACAAAAACATACTGGACTGTAATGGACGCTAAAAACACAACGAAAATAATTACTGCACTTGAAATGAAAGTGACACATTTTGTGTCGTGGTCAATGATTTTATACGAAAATCTTAGAAGAAATTCACATCTTGACGCAACGGCTTGTAAACTCACAGTGACGGTCTCAAACACCGAAATCAACTGGACAAGATAAATTGCTTTATTCAAATAGATCATTGTGTTCACGACTTCTTCTCTATCACTTCGACGATTATTCCTAAACATTATTATGTCGGTTAATAGCTACCGGCCAGAACCAAATTTGTATTTATAAATTTTACCTGCTCACTTTTTATTTTTAAAAGTTCGAAACCTGAAAGCAGGATAAAACTATCGGTATTGGTTTTATACGTAGGTCTTTAAAACGATAACGGTCTAACTATAAGTCAAGGCTCTGTCATGTCTCTCGGATAAAAATGTATGGATTGGATATTGTACCAAATCCCTTTAGTCGAACCAAGGTATTCCTTAGTTTTATTTCTATGCTACAAATCGGACAATGCTATTACATTATTATGAACATTTGGTACAAAACAATCGATCGCGGCGTAAAAAACGATTTTTACGTCTGTAGCGAAAGTTTCACACGGTCTTGTACAAATGTACACACGTTTCACGATTATAACCGAATTGTTTTTCTGTACTCGGTGAATCTGCACAACATTGAAATGCGCGTTGGCAATTTTATTTTTTCTATGTCAAATCGGTACTCGGTGCGGATAATTTCAAACGATCACAACAGAAAAAATAATTTCATTAACAGATAATTTAAATAAAAATGAAAAGTACTCACCATCCGAGTGCACTAATTGTTGTACAATGGCAAGAAGCGTGTAAATGTCTACGGGTCTCAGCATGTCGCGCGGTAGTAATTTTAATTCTTAAATTAGAAGAAAACGGAAACAATATAATTAAAAGATGGTTAACTTTGACAACCGAAGTCAGCCCCCCCGTCGCGTCACCTCGCACTTATTTGACAGACACCGCACTGTTACCTTATCTGTGACATGATGATCGAGGGAACGATCCAAGTGAAGAAAACGTGAATAACCAATCGATCTATTTCGTCTTTCGATTCCCTCGATCATAGATACTTTTTAGGCTGTCAACCACTGCTAGATGTTTAAGACTAAACAACTGAAAAACCGTTAAGTTCCTCGGCCTGCACGTCGGCCGTAGTCTCCACCACCACCACTTTCACCTTCAACAAGTGACAGAAAGCGAAAACAAAAACAGCAATGAGGTTCAATGTCGTCCCCTCTATTTACAATTATACACAGCTAAAGATGATATACTAGTATGTAAAGAGATCCAATTAAGATTTACTCTTAAAATTGGGTTGTATTATGATATCAAGCGGTTCAACCTTACTTCCTCTTCTCGATGAAATTTCAAGTGTTCTTCAGCCAAATTTCAACAAGCTGTTGAGTTAAAACAAAATTAAAAAAAGTCATTAAATATTCTTAAGACTTACATCAGGAGGAGGCACTTCTTAGCCATTTTTAACTGTATGAATAATTAAATTTTTAATATAAATAAAATTATAGTTTTACGTTAACGCTGTTGAAACGTTTTTTTGGGAGTTATTTTTTAACTATTACACGCAGTTTAAATAATTTGATTATAAAAAACAGGTTCACAAAAGTTATGTTTTTTATAATTATTTAGTGAAGTATCAGTTTGATGGATTAAAGTATAATTGCTTTGACTGTTAGGAAACTACGTAAAGCATAACCCACAATTGAAAAATAAAAAAACAATAAAACGAAATCACACTAAATTAGTTGATTTATGAAAATTATCAAACACGATGTTACTTAATTTTCAGTAACATCTTAATATTAAAAAATAGTAATTTTATTTCAGGTGATTCTAAGTGCTTTCTTTCATTTACACATTTAGGCAATGTAAATTTACTTAATTAAAGTGATTATCTTAATTCAGAGTTATATGTAATTAGATTAAATCTGATTATTTCACGTCGAGATCATTAATGAACATTACTGTTTCCCTAATGTAATCGCTTAACGGTAAGTGAAGTAAGGCGTGTTTTCTTAAACAATTATTGATTATATTTTTATAGTTATTGATTACGGATTTAATCCAGTAAATAGTGACAATTATGTGTTAATCCAAATAATGATACATTTATGGTATCCCGCTACGGTATTTACTAACTCGATTCATTGACTGCTTTCATTCACATAAACCAATTGTCAGTCGTTCCGCATTAAACAATAAAACTATTGTTGAGACAGTAAAGTACCGTTTTCTCTAAGTAATAATCTAATTTAGTGTATTGGAATCAATGTTTATTTTCAAACTCACAGTTAATAATTATTCAGTTTATTTTGTCCGGAAATCGATTTACAATTAGACTTTTTCGTTAATTGAAAGATTGTCCTTAAATAGCCTATAGATAAACATTGTTCTTGTCCAATATCCTTAACTTTTCAACACATTTCTTCTACCGTCTTCTGATGTTCGTGACCACACAGAAATCGCTATAATATTAGCTGGCAGATAAATTCGCATTAGAAGAGATCTGTCCTACAAGAACCTCGTTAGTATTTATAACCTTCGTTTCTCGGTCATTTCTTAAAACAGTCGCGTATCATCCAAGTGAATCGCATTATTGTTTCATACCATCCCTACTATTGTTGAATGCTCGGTACTCAAGCCTATGTCTGCCCAATATGTATTTTTGATAACACGAGCCATTATTACGATCTAACACCTATCGTATTTATAAAATATACAATTATAACAATAATACGTGACTTGATGACCGAAACTAAAACGATAACATGCGAAAAATATTAACCTTGTAGTGATCAATGAATGTGTCTCGCTATTGACCGGCAAATAAGTATAAAAAACACATCTATACCACAACGTAACAAAACTGGTGCTACTGATAAATCTCCAGCTCATTAATACAAATCACGTACAATCAATTGCTAGTATGATTTTTTTTTTTAATTATCTTTTAACCATATTCACTTTGAACATTCAAAAGGAGCAGCTATGTTTTTAAGGAAATTGGAGTTTTAATTTTTAATAACAATATTATGAAAAACTATTTAAAAACACTCAAATACTTAAATGCGTTTCAATTGAATTTCACAACTTTGAGCACAATCATTAAATTCTTAAAATTAGTGTAGTGTTCATTATTAAGATTCACTTTAAGTATAATCACTATGAATTATAATTCATTTTTATTTAATCTTAATAAATTTGAATGATTGCATTTTTTTCAGTTAACAGAAAATAATCGTAAATGTGTGTTGGAAAAATAGTTTTACTTTTCTTTGTATAAATATAAATAATTGCAATATTTTTAATACTTTTGTATAACGTTGAGTTACAATGTAACAAAATTCCAAAAATTAAAATAAAATTTTGTTCGTGTGGGTTATAGAACTTGTATAATTAAAACGATCTCAAAGAGCAAATATTCAATAAAATATCGAAGCATAGAAATGGTTTATTATTTTACTTAACTTTTCTCTTTAAAAAAAAACAACTAACTAGCAACATGTATTCAGAAGATTTCAATCAATGATAGCTCTAAAAACTCAGGGATAATTATCTCACACAAACCAAACAACTATAAATTTAATTTAATAAACTAATGAAATAACTTTAAAGTTCAAAATACTGTTTTTAATTGTACCGCAAAAATGTATATTATGCCATAGTATGTCAATTTACTTCTGTTGTTTCCTCAAAATGTACATCGATAAATCTCTTATTATAATAACACACAATGACAATTAAAATTGTCCTCATCGGATTTCAAGAGAAACTTTATCCAAATCCAATATTTGATTCAAATAAGTTAAATAATTATTGGAAAAGTTTATTGATTCGTTCGAATAGCTTATAATTAGAATAATTTGTGAGTTTTTCCAAATTGTTACTGTTGAAATAATAAAATGGTAAATTTATTTGATCGTTGGAAGAGGACTTTTCGGTAATAATTGTTACGGTTTCCTGGAATTTCTTCAAATGAGATGACCTTTTTACTTTTTGTTTTAAATATTTTTAATAAGAATAATAAAATGTATTGCTTTATAGTATAACTTTATAATTAAAATAAATATTATTTTTAAGATCTTTTACAATATCATATTTCCCCTCTAGATGATGATTCATTTATCATGAATCACATAATTAATCAAAAAATAAAATTAATATTAAGAATTTTTTATTTAGTTTCTTTAAGGCACATATATTTAAATCATGAAGTATTATTTATATTCATTCCTTTTAATAATGTCAACTTTACTTTTTCAAATAGCAAAATGCATAATCAACTAGTTTATTTATAGATAATGAGATAATTAAAATAATGACTGGTCGCTAATAATTTTTTGAGCAGTATTTCTGAAGTTATTGATATTATTATACTTTGACAGGAGAAAGAGTTGGCCAGAGAATCATCTAGTGCTACAAAAATTTTTATAAATTATTTAAGATTAAAATGTGAAATAAAATTATTCTAAAATTCATTTTATTAGGTGTTTAAATGTCTACAGGTTTTAAATTTAAGTTTTCTTGAGCAAAATTTTGTATTAATTGTATTATTTAATGATTAAATAATAAGTAAAAATTAATAAGGTTGCAAGAACTAAATTTAATTTAAAAATTATAGGAATGAATATACACTAAAAATATTTACATTAGTATAATTTATTACTGATTTACGACATTCAGTGTTTCTTAGCCACATCAACTAAAATTAAACACAACATAAAATCATAGTTTCGTAACGTTATTTATTTCAAAATCACCAAATTGTCACACAAATTATCAAATCAAACAACTAGTAACGAAATCAAATCATACCCAATTATTTATCACTATTAGTTGTCCAATTCTCAATAATATATTTCTATTGTCAACTCTCTGTGGCTCCATAAGATCGGGTAAGTATTGAGCGTGAAACGTGATTAATTGATAGACTACATTATACAATTCATGAAACTCGTAAAAACATACAAATTTTTTTTATAGTCCAATATTTAAATATGATTATAATTCTACTAAATTATACACATTAACTACGTCTTAAATATAAGACAAAATACGCCAACGTTATTAAAATACTTCCAAAATATTAAAAGATAAAGAGCGATACACGGGTCGTACTAGAGATAGTACTAAATGATAGAATGCACGTACCTCTGATGGCATTGAAATATGAAGCAATATGAATTACAAAGGTGAAGACAATTTTTTTTTTAATCACTCAAATACATAATAAATAGTGATGCATAAAAAATAAAATTGTTGTGGATAAAAATATAAAAGTCATTGGGATTGAGAGTATTTAGTACCCCAGGTGGCACAATTCCTAAATACGGTATTAGCAAAAAATATCTATAAATTATTAGTAATATCAGATTATTTTTACTGTGTAGATCGATTAAAAATACACAATTGAATTTATAGTTATGACGTGACTGAATTTGTGTCAACGCTATGATTTTTTAAAACATTATAAATACAGGATTCCCAACTAAATAAATAAACTACCAAATAAATTTTTTTCTTTTTACTCATCGGTTCGTTTTAAAATTGTCAAAAACTAGACTATAAAAAAAAATTAGTTTTTTTCCAGTTAATTGATATGAACGCTTATATTAAGATTTAGATATCATCATCAGTATGATGATAAAATCTTAAAATTATAATAAGATATGCGTATTTGTATATGTATTTTGATATAATTAATAAATTATTAAATCTATCAGTAGGGTTAAAATTCATGTTTTTGTTATACACAATTATGTATTTTTTTGTTATAGAACGTGTTTTTTGAAAAAATTCATTATGCTACTGCAAACAATGGACAAAAAGTGGTTATTTTACCAACAGTATTAGTATCAAAAAACAAAAATTCACGCATTGATAAAGTCCGACGGTCCCGTCGGAGAAAAAACCAAAAATTCAAAACAATTAAGTGTCCTATAGACGCCAGTCGACAAAAAGTATTTTATATAAAATCAAACGGTGGATATAAAAATGCGATAATTAAGAAAAATACCGATGATTTAAAAACTCAAGTAACAGACGATGTTGACGTACAAGAATCGAAAAAAGGTAGACCTAAAGGTTCTAAAAATAAGAATAAATTTGATCCAATTGGATATGGCCTCACAGACAAATCATTTGTATATTCTGTGGACTTGAATACGTGTGTCGTTTGTAACGAGTCATTGGACACTGATCTATTAGATCACGCACTAGAACATCACAAAGACACTTGTCCAATTTGTGGTGAATATTGCAGTCAAAATTTGTCGAAACATTTTGAGTCGCATGCAAAACAAACTTATTTGAAAGTTAAGTGCTACGAATGTTATCATTGCAAAGAAAAGTATGGCAACTCTGAATTATTGGCAGACCATGTACTCGAAGTGCATGTAAAAAAGGCTACCCAATTAACGTGCTGCATCTGCGGACAGATAATATCACGGAATACGTTAGTAGCTTTGCGACAACACATATCCGTAGCGCATTCGGACGCAAATCCGTCCACGTTTCCAGAAACCTGTGGATATTGTAACCATCAGCCAGGTCGTAACGATCTTATAGCCCATTTATTTGACAAACATCTTTCTAAGACTTCAGTCACTATGTCATGTACGATTTGTGAAGCACAGTGCGATAGCCGCTCGGATATTGTCGATCATATGGTCCGTACACACTGTTCCAGTACAACTTACAGGCGACCAGCAGTTTATCGCTGCCCAGCGTGTCACATAGGATTCAAAACTCAAACCAGTGTGCTGAGACACGCGTGTAGTGCCATTAAGAACCCGTACTGCGAAAATTGTGATAAAATGTTTCCGTCAAAAATGAGGCTTGCTTTTCACTTGCAATTTCACGATCATGTATTTTATCCTGCGATGCACTTACGTTGTGACGTATGCTTAGTTGAAATGGAAGATGAATATCAGTTGTATGATCATATTCGATTCCAACATGAAGTATGCGAAAAGGCGGTCTGTGAAACATGTGGTCGCATGTTCAAAACGTCTATGGGTCTGAGTATTCATCGCCGGTATCACGTCGGTGACAGACATTACACGTGCAAGACTTGTGATAAATCATTCTTAAATCGTTCAACGCTTAAAGAGCATGAAATATCGCACATGGAAGTCAAACCTTTCCGTTGCCATATTTGTGGTCAATATTTGAGTCGAGCGTCGCGTTTGCGATCACATGTAAAATCTCACAAAGCTGCTGAATCGACATCACAACGTTGCTGCTATTGTTTGACATGTGGTTTTGTAGCTCCAAACACATATTTAATTAGCGATCACATGAGCAAAGAACACGACTTCGAAGGTGAGGCTAGGACTGCGGATTTGTCCTTAATTGTAAAGTGCGAGTACTGCGATTCTACATACATCGACTCAACTAGCTTAAATCAACACCGAGATAATAAGCACCCAAAAAGCGAAAACTCTGATGCTTTTGCTTGTGCTTTATGTTCTTCTACTTTTAGCACATATTCCAGACTGACAACTCACAAACTTACTCATGGCATAAACACCGAGTCTACATTATTGGATACTCAGTTCAATGATGTTAATGTTGATCAGGATCGATTTTGTATACCACAATTCTTTTCGTGCGAACATTGTGGTAAAATGTGTCTTCATTACACTTACTTATGTCTACATAGAAAACTTAAACACTCTAAAAAAACCGAACAAGTTAAATGTAGCCGATGTCCTCAAGAATTCAAATCGTCTTGGAAACTTATATACCATAAAAAAACAACGCATGGCCTCAGCCCAAACCAAGAAACCCATTCAGAAGATGTTCACCAATGTAAAATCTGCTTTCGAAAGTTCAGCAAGGTTGGCGCTCTTAATTTACACAAAACCCGTAGTCATATTGACAATAGTACCAGTGTTAATGCCGGAAAATATTTATGTGATCAATGTGGAAAATCACTTAATAGTGAACGTTCATTGATTAACCATAAAAAAACCCACTCCCGTCATATACCATGTCTTGAGAACAAACAACCAACTACACCTATCATTACTGAAACGAAACCACAAGAAAAAAATGAAGATAATATTACTATTTATAATCAGATCTCATGCCCTATTTGTCTACATTTATTTGACGATAATTTAGAATACATCGAACACCTTGAAAACCATACTAAAGTAGAAAACATTGTTCCCACTAACACGATTTGCATTTTGTGCGATACAGATTTATTGGATACTCAAATGTTCAAGTATCATATCGAAAAACATTCAGTTAATAAAGAAGCTATAGTTTGCTACATTTGTTATGCACCATTCCATTCATGTCAAGGATTTCTTTTACATGTAGGAAATGTGCATCAAATGTTCAAACTGTTATCAGAGGAACACATTTTACCTGAAATATCATTTGTGGGTATGTCTCAAAGAAACTTATTAAATAATGAACCATTAGTCGTTGATTGTTCACAAGTATTAGACAATCAAAATCCTGTGGAATTATTGGTACCTATTGTTACGAAAGATATAAATAATCAAAATTTAATACGTGAACCTTCCCCAAACTCGGCAATACTTTTTTCGACCACTGATGAACACACGTTACATCAAGAAAATGCATCAAACCCACCGGAAAATTTTGAATTTAATTATCCATCAAGTTCAAATAATGTCTATGAACAAAATGCTACACAAGATAATTGTTTAGAATATTTACCTGTATCAACAATAAATATTAAGAAAGAAAATATTTATCCAAAAAATGTACTAGAAAACAATGATAACATCAATTTTGACCAATTATTAAAAGTATCCGAACACGAAAAACAAATTAACGAACCAAATCCAACTTTAGACGAATTATTGGATCTTATTCCTTTAACTCCTCAGCGTGTTCAAGATAATTCATACTTGAATATTACAGAAGAAACTCGAGATCAAATGTTCTTCTTAAATAATTTACTTGATGAAAAACCTTCGGATTGTGCAACACAATAATTTGTAGCCTTTGATACTAAATGTTCATTTCATTTTTTGCAGTATTAAAATATTCAATTTTTAGGTATATCAATTATTTTTTAAAGGAATTCACCATTTTTCAATTATTTTAAATATAAATATGTAATAATTTTATTGTGCACCATTTTTATAAACAACTACTATGTTTTATTTAAAGCATCATAAAACTAAAATAGTTTCATCATTTGTTTTAATAAATCGTTTTCAAATAAATCAACTTTTATTTTAAGATAAAATTGCATATATAAATAAAATTATTTATAAAAAGCTACAGCGATAATTATTAAAATAATTTACTTATTTAAAAACAGTTACAAGTTAAACTTCGTGGTATTATAAAAATTAAATTATGCTTAAATTGTAACAAAACATAAAAAAATTATCTACAGGTTTCAAAGTGGCAATAAAATATTCTGTTGTATAAATAATCCTCTTATAAGTTTTTTTTTGTAAAAGTATTTTATTCAGTGTCTCACTTGTTATTGAACTTTCAAATATTTCCAGACACATTCAATTCAGTATAAATTTTTTATATTATATTTAAATTTTTATACATGGTTACAATTCTTATAAAGATATTTATTCCAGACTATTACTATGTATTGTTAAAATATATTTTGTTCTAATAATAGTAATGCATATATTCAGCCAAAATTAATGATTACTTTTTTAGTTTCGATGCGAATCTGAGAAGATTTTAACTTACTACAAGGTGTTTATTTTTATTCTATATATATATATTTTTGTAGTAGCTGTTGCCATTTTTTTCAGCTCTTGCTAGACTGATTTTACTAAACGATAAAATATCACAAATCATATTTAGTTGAAAACATTACCCTCAAAAATTTTCTTTGTTTCAAATAAAGGCTAACTCCTCCTAAAAACTACAATTTTTAAAATTAATAAATTTTATTTTTTTACTTAAAAATATCTTCATTTTTCTTAAATTGATGAATCAAAACAATTTTTTTTATAAATATTTTAAATACTTCCTTTTCATGGTATATATAATATAAATATATATTTATTTGAAAATCGGTCTCTTTCCTAAACCTCAGAGGTAGATTCAAACTACTTTTTCATGAAAAGTTAACCTTTTCAACTTAATAACTTTTGAAAATATTTCAAAAATACTATGAGCTTAAAAATATTCTTAATTAAATCTTACGTTTCATATTATAAATAAAAAAAAATTGTCATGACAACACATGTCACTAAAATTACGATGCAAATCTGTAGATAGTGTTTAATTTTAAAAAATTGGTGGATTATTTCGAAAGCAACATGATTGTTTTAAGAATTTAAACATGATATCCTTATTTATATTCTGATTACAAGTCTTATGATTTATAAATTTAATATATAAATAAATATTTATTATAGCAATTAAATATAGTATGAAAGTGGTATTGTATATTTTAATATATTACAAAAATCGTATTTTTTTTTTTACTAACTTTTCACCATGAAAACAACATAAAGTCCGAATTTTTTTTTTCATATTAAAGTATATTACATAAGCCTTAATTTAAGATATATATAAAAGGGTCAGTATTTCCGGAACACTTTCAAAAGCTAAGTTGAAAAAGTTACTTTTTGTGAAAAAGTTGTCATTTTGAATCCTTCCTTGTGGACAGGTAAAGGGTCAAATTTATAAAAAAAAATATACAAAATGATAGGTAAATCTATAAAAAAAAAATTATATTGATTTGTTCACTTTAAAAAGTTATGACAGTTTTAAGTTAAAAAAAAGTTAAAATAAGCAATTTTTAAAATTGTAATTTTTTTTTTTGAGATTTTTCCCCATTTACGAAGAACGAGAGAAATTTTGTCAATTTTCGAGGGTAATGTCATCGACGATTTGTGATCTTTTGACATATCGTTGAAAGAAATCGGTTCGGTGAGAGCTGATAAAAATGGTAACAGACACAAAAGAAAAAAAACACATCTTAGTAAAAGTAAAACCTTCTCAGCTTCACATTGAAGCTAAAAATGAATTGATTTGATTTTGAAAAGAGACGAGTATTAATTCAATGCTTTAATCTAATATCTTATAAGCTTGATAGATAGAACAATCAACATTTTTTATTAATAAATTACTTACATATTTACATTTTAAGGTAAATGAGAAGGTAGTGAGGAGTGAAAAAGAGATATGTCTCACTACAATTTCAAAAAGATAATATTTTAAAATATTATACCATATGTATATTTGATATACCTATGGCTTTCATAATTAGATGCCATTTATTAGTCCTTTTAGAGATCCAGATTACGTTTTAATTACTTTTTTTAAATATTATTTTACAATGTTGGTCAAATTTGATCTAGATAATTATTTCAATTCTTTTCTAACATAATTATTCGAATTGCAAAAAATTATCATAATAAATTTTTATTTAGTTGATTATTTAAATAAAAATTTAATCGAATAATGCCCGACTATGTTATTTAAAAAAAAAACATTTTTTGGAACCTGGTTTTAAGTTCAATACCATCAGATCGAAAACTTTAACGTGGGGATCTGCGTCCAAATTTAATCTACAAAAAACCTTCATTAATAATATAATAATGATTTTTTACAGGCGTCTTTAGTAGTTTTAGGCGATAAATATTTTTCTTTAAATAGTAAATACTATTTACTATAGTATTATAATTACAATTATAATAGTGAAATACATTAATATGATTTTATGTAATATACATCAACTTTAGACCAAACAAACAATTGTTCTTACTCTGCAATGCAAACACAGACTCATATTAAATGTAGAGGATATATTTATGTACTAAAAGATAATAATGTGTGTATTTATAGTCTACAATCTCGTGTAAGTTTCAGTAAATATGGCGCCCGTCACTGTGAACCCTATGAAATAATAAAATTAAGTACCTATGTATCAACACAGAATTTGAATAACGAATCGTACAACAGAAATGTCACCATAAATGTTTACTATTGATGTTCTGAGAATACTATTAATTTATGAACGAAAGATTTTAATTGTGGAAACATACATTTCTAGTAAATAGATAACGATTTTAGTGAAAATGTGAGAAAACATTATATCTTCTTTCAAATTATTTACCAGCCTATAAATATTGTATTATTTTTAAAGATGTAATAAAAATAAATGTATATAAAATAAATGTAATTAATATGATTCTATCGAACATAAGTTGATAGCACTGATGAATTAGCTTTCATAGTGAACCTTTCATTATTACTCATAGCAAATTGAGGTTATTTGAAATTAATTGAAAATTCTTATTTATTTTTGAGTTGAAAACAGATTTAAATAAACAAGTAAGAATTCCTCCAATAATACTTGAGTAAGGTCTTCCTGATTGGAGATTGAATCACGGATTCATGGTGCACATGCGTATAAGCAACTAGTTTATAATATTTACCTAATTATCTGATAGTAAAAACTTGTTTACTGATAAATATCGAATAAACACCTAATTTGACAATTTTAAAAACAAATAAATACCTCTAAATGTTTGTAAAAAATGATACAAATTAAGCACTTATAAAATAAAAGGAAGGTTAATTATAACCGAGTTATACAGGGTGATTTTTTTATCATAACCCACTCAATTACTTACAGAATAATAATAATTAAAAATTTTTTTTTTATTATTATCTTTAGTTACGCATTATTCTTGAATTATTAACTATGTAATACTTTTTAAGTTCATCCCTTATGCCTGGTAAGGGTGTCAACTTTGTTTTTTTAAATGGTAACACATATTTTTAATTTAATAAAATGTTTGAGTTTTTAATTCAATAGTAAATGGCATTTGAATTTTTAATAAAACTTAATTTGTTTATTAGATATAAACATTTAAAGTTTCAAATTTTTGAGTTAATATATAGGTATAATACACAAGGGATTACAAATACAGGTAGCTAATTGGTTTTTATGATATTGCTATCACATTCACGGATTGTTTATTATCAATTATGACTATCAATGGATATACTTTTTGTATTGTCAGTTAGCTTATTTATAAACTGACAACAATGTACCTTACTATCATTGATAATAACAATTCTGTGTACCTGCTAATATCGATGTCATAAAAAACCAATTAGCTACCTGTATTTGTAATCCCTTGTGTATTATACCTATATATTAACTCAAAAATTTGAAACTTTAAATGTTTATATCTAATAAACAAATTAAGTTTTATTAAAAATTCAAATGCCATTTATTATTGAATTAAAAACTCAAACATTTTATTAAATTAAAAATATGTGTTACCTTTGTTTAAAAAAAACAAAGTTAACACCCTTACCAGGCATAAGGGATGAACTTAAAAAGTATTACATAGTTAATAATTCAAGAATAATGTGTAACTAAAGATAATAATAAAAAAAAAATTTTAAATTATTATTATTCTGTAAGTAATTGAGTGGGTTATGATAAAAAAATCACTCTGTATATTATGTTAAAATAATAAATTCCATATTTTTTTTTTCATTGGGTGAAAATTCAGTTGTTACAAAAGATACTTAAAATAATAAAAATCATATGATTAAGTTAAAAAATTTATGATGTTTAATTCATTAAAAATAATGAATCTTATATAATAGAACACGGAAAAAAATCTTTTCTGGGAAAATTACTTAGCGTGCTACGATTTTCAAAATTGTTTTTTTTTAACGAAAGTACTTGGTCATAAAACTATGGGAAAATTATTGCCGCTCGCCCGCGAGCATTTTAAAATTTCGACCGTTTTCAAGAAAACACTAGCGTTTTATGACTTAAGGTTTGATATTTTCACCAGACCTGTTCAAAGATATTTCTGAGATATCATAAAAAAATTAACTCAAAAATTTTTTTTAACGTTCTACGTGGTTTTTTTCTTTTAGAAGTCTACGCACATTTTTTTAATAAGCGTATCATTTATTTGTTGCGCATATAATTTTATAACCAGTGGCCTACTTATGAGGTCTGCCCAAAGAGGCTTATGTAGGGCCCCGAGTTTGGCACAGAGC